ATCGGCATTGGGCTAGAACTGGGTCGGGGACTGGAGACTGGAGGTGCTTGGTTGGGACAGGCGTCGAAAGCTGGGGATAGATTGATAGGACGGCACCAAAACTTGCAGACAAGCCCGGAGTCTGGATACAAGACGGGATACCGCTGGGAGGGGACCAACCACCTCGTCTTGGTGTATCCGTAGGTATTCGTCGGTGGAGGGCGCCTTACCTTAGTCAGGGTCGGGACGAGTACTTTTTTGGATGCGCCGTTTTCTCCTGCGGGAGGTGCGCATGTAAGGCAAGGCAAGGTACCTTTTCACTTCTTCATCTAATTCCTACTGGCCTGTCTCGGCCTGCTTGCTTGCTTGCCTGTCTTTGGATATGCTACTACCTGAAGGTGCACCTTATGCCTGTTGGACGGTGATACATCCTGCCTTCGGGTTTCTCTCTTTTCCTATCTTTTGCTTGGCCAGGAAAGTGCCACAGACGGTCACGCTTACAAAGGGCAACAACTGCTGTGCGATCGACTTGCGCCCATCTCGTTCCATTCGCTGTTGATGCTGCTGCTGCTGCTACTAACCAAAGACATCCAGTACCGTACGGAGTACCTTAGATACACACGCAGAGCAAGCGGCGTGCCTGGTGCACGCCAACAAGTCGCGAATGTGCTAGGACGGTAGATCAATCAAATCAGTCAATGTCAAAAGAGACGGCCGACCGCCAAAAGGTGCAAGCTGGACGATCCACCGACACGCCAGGACAGGTAGACTTGGGACTTGGGGTGACTTGGCCCGATCCACCGTCTCCCTTCCGCCCGTGAATTAGACGCAGCGCCCTGCTTCTCTGCATCCAACATTAAAAGGCGTCGATTGGCCTGGCCTGGGCATTCCTCTAACGTGCGGTCTGGCGATGTCAAGATCTAAGAATAACAATGTCTGACTTGTGATAGCGTGCTCTTCATTATTCAAGAACCTTTGCTAGAAACAGGGGGGGGCTAGACTGGAAACCCATCTTGACGCCGCGTGAGGTGGGCAGCGTGACTGCCGGAAGAAATGGAGCTCCCTCATGCAAGAACCGCACGCCAGTAACGAGGCCCCCGGTTTGTCTGTTGTTTGCAATGCGCCCGTGTTTCGAGGTCAGCTTGACTTTCGCGGTCGGGATTCGGGATGGCTTCGAATTGACAGCGTCCCTCGAAAGCTCTGCGCCCTTCTTTGTCCAACCGGAATAGTTACTTCACCGGGAGTGCTAGATAGACGCGACAAAAGGTTGATTGTATTCATCGCGCCAAGGCACGTCCCGCCCCTCCTTGTTGGCTACGAGTGAAGAACGCAAAATGCGCCAAACATGAGATAGAGCTGTGACCTGCAGTCGAAGGGGGTGGAAGTGAAAGTTGGCAAAAAAGCCCAGGGATTCCACTGCTCGGATGATGCGCCGCGATAAGGCTATGCATCGATAAGAGAATCCAGACCCCCGTCAGACACGGGCCACCTTCAGAACGCAGCTGCAGCCGCTGCGCCGCACTCGAGCACCTTCTCCACTTCCTGTCAGCCCAGCCACAAGCTCCTCGTATCCAGATACAACACCAGCCACAAGGCCGTTGAAATGAGGCTGGTGAGTCGGGCCGGCATGGTGCCGTGTCACGGGTTTCTCAGCCTGTCCACAGTGCAGTCCTGATTGGGCCTCGTCACCGTCACCAAGCTCCAAGGTCCTGTATCCAGGAAGCCAACATCGCGGGATCCTCGACACGCATATCCCTCCCCCCTCTGTCGGCCATCAACACGTATCCCCCACATCGAGTCCGACCACGATTTTGCCCACCATGGCCGAAGACTCTGTCCTCGCCCCCAAGTTCGCGCCGTTCATCGGAATGGTAAGCTCTCGCCCTCCGACGCCCTGCTTGCTGCCACTCGAGCAAGCAAGCTACGGATAGCTATGATATCTACTTGCGAGCTTGTGCTGACATGTTTCCAATCTAGGCCGGCATTGCGGCTGCCATGATCTTCGGATGTACGTTCGCCTTCTAAACCTGGTCATCCTTCACCCCGACGCGACAACTATACTAAACAAACTCTCCTATAGGCATCGGCGCCGCATACGGTACCGCGAAATCAGGAATCGGTATCGCTGGTGTCGGAACTTTCAGGCCCGATCTCATCATGAAGGCATGCCATCCGAATGTTAGACCCCGGTCGAAGAGTGCCTGCTAATACTGTCGCAGTGTCTGATTCCTGTCGTCATGTCCGGTATCATTGCTGTCTACTCTTTGGTTATTTCGGTCCTCATCGCCCAAGATTTGGTGCCTCCCGGTGCTGGAAGCAACTACAGTTTGTTCAAGTTAGTCACGACTTCCCACAAATCAAACGACAAGATCATTACGCTGACATGGTAATAGCGGCTTCATGCATCTTGCCTGCGGTCTGTCCGTTGGCTTCACTGGCCTTGCGGCTGGCTACACAATCGGTATCGTTGGTGACAAGGGCGTGCGCTCATACATGGAGCAATCCCGCATCTTCGTTGGCATGGTCCTGATTCTTATTTTCGGCGAAGTCCTGGGTCTCTACGGGTATGTCACAACGCTATGGACGACCTCAAGTGCATATTTGCTAATCAATACAGTCTCATTGTCGCTCTGATCCTGAACACCAAGTCCAAGGGCTAAGAACCTCCCGATTCTCCGAATAATTCAAACGGCGATAAATAACTACAACTTGACACCACCCTTCAACGAAACAAACTGTACATTAAGCCAGGAAACCGCCGGACGTCAGGTTGAAGAAACATCAAAAGAGAAGGTGTATGGGTGGTTTCTGGTCCAAACCAGCATATGGCACGGCGTTACAGTAGGACCCTCGTGTAGATTTTATGTATGACGGGCTAGAAGAAGGTCTCGGGAGCTGTGAAAGGTATGATAGGCATCCGGGTTCAGTATCTTTGAAATTTTTCGAACGCAACTTAATTTCCATCAACTGTGATAAGTGATATATGTGAGACAGATCAATCTGTGACTGAGCTTTGAGTAGGTGTACGGGACTCGTTGACCTGGCGCTGGTTAAGTAGCAATGTAGCTCGACATTATGATTAGGAGGGAGGGATTTCTATTAGAGCCTCGCCCCAAAGCTCTCCGGAGGGAATCCATGTGCGATATCAATGCTACTTCCCCAGTAGAAAGTTTTGTGTAACACGAGCTCTCAAGATCTAGTAGCAGTGTTGACTATGTATCCCAGTCTGGATTATCAATGACTCTAGACTATCCCGCGGCGAAGTTGGCAAGCTTGATAGCGGCCTCAACGTACGTGGCCTTCAAGTAAAATCTCCAACGAAAGGTTGTGCTTTAATCTCTTGTTCGTAAATTGACGGACCCTCTTAAAATGGCCAAAACTAGCAAAAAGAGTCCAACCCCCCCCCCGGTGCCGAACGGGGGCTACATCTCTGGGTGCACATGCTGGGATTCGAACTCGGAGCCTGTCGTCGAGTTGGCTGTGGGTGTGGTTTGATTGTTGACCTTGAACCGCTCCACCACCCAGCCAGTTTTGGCCTGACCCCCGACCTAGAGGGCGCCCGCTGGCTGGTGACGGGGATGGAGTAGGAGGGGTATATGAACGGTATGAGGCGTCTCTCGTGGTGTATTGTGTTGGGATGGGATGAATATACGGAAGGTACGTACACGTCATTGTGTTTTTGGGAAGGAAGGGCCTAAAGGGTTGCCCGAGTGACTGGGATGTATTTTCCGTGCGATTTGGTGTATTCAGTTGAAACATTCTGGTGTATGGGCCGGACGTAGAAGCTGATGAATCATTGTTCTGACTTGGATCCCGTTTAGTACTGAAAACACTTATGATAAGAACTCGGATCTTGACCTACTTATTGACTAGATTGGGTTGAACTGCCTTATTCATGCGATACTTCAGAGTATATGGGTGCCGTCTGAGTGATATGCTTGGATGTATCCTTGTAAGCCCAGGCCAGTCGGAAGAACTTGCTCGTATCCCACTCACCAGACTTGCAGGATCTCGTTATATTGGTAGGTTTGGAAGAACTACTTTCTTCCATACGGCATACTGCACTTGTGAGGATGATGGATAACAAGGAAGTAATCTGAGAATGAACACTTTGGGGTCACCGCACTCTATTGTCCCTCTACTTCCTGACTTTAGTCGAGTTGAGCCACCTAATCGACTTTAAGGGATTCACTAGTCCGATGATATGGCAGCCTTCTTAGCCTGAGCTGGTTGCTGGGCAGGTGACGTGAAGGAGCAAACCAGAAATGCAGGCATGGCTAGCGAACTAGCCAAGTACAGGGTGAGGTTGAAAGTTGGCACACAAGAGGCTCGATCCTGAGACGAAGGAAGAAAGGAAGAAAGGAGCGACTGTTATAGGTCACACGTCGATCTTCCTACAAAGCCATTTCAAGCTAACGCATTGAAACCAGTTGTTTTCTCGCAAGCACATTAATCACTCCTGAGTAAGTGAACCATCTAGTACTCATGAAGCCTCCACATTTCTCATTAGAGGATGATAGAGCTGATTTGTCAAACTACGATGAGAAGGGCAAGACCAGAAGGCTACCATCACCTGATCCCAAATGCCGAGATACAAATCATCAAACAAGATTACCAAGTCACTCATGGCACAGTTCCAGGAATGGATGAAATATCTTCTTCAATTTGGTTTCACATACCCTTAACCCCAGGACTTTAGGCCCTATTTCCCTATTGCTGATTCACAGAAGCGTAATCAAGCTCGAAATCGTGTCTTCGGCCTTACCGAGTCCGTTCTCGCAATGCACCTGAAATCTAGATTCGAAATCTAGAATCCATGTCAAAAGTGTTGAAAAATTCCCCCAGAAATCCTCAAATGACACCGAGGGGAAGACAAAAGTGTCCTGACAGCAAAGAAAAGGCTCAAATGCCATGTCCATAACCCATAAACAAGAAGATCAGAGTGGAAGAATCATCTCCTTTCTAGGAGGAATCATCGGCTTCCAATGCTCTATGCAGAGACGCCGATGGATGAATGATAAAAGAAAACAAAAAAACGATTGACTCCTTTTCCTAATGCATGACGAGCCGTTCGTTTTCAAGTCATGTCACATGCGCATCAATATCATGGTCGCGTCAAGCGATCTACCACAGACGTCCCGCAAGGCGACGGGTCAGCTTCTTGCGCTGGGTTGGTGGGGGTTGGCGCAGATTTCTCCAGCCGCTGCGATCGCGGTCTTCCCAAGTCTGCATTTGTGCTGTAGTCATAGAAATTAGCCTACCATACTTTTGCTCGGCTTGAGCTTGAAGGTGGGCGAAGATCAAGACTTACCGAGAAAGCGGTTCCAACGGCGATCCTCGTCCCAGAGAATATCCTCGCCAGACTCGCGCGCAAGTCTCTCTCGGCGAGCACTCGCAGCGGCCTCCTCGCCGACCAAGTAAGGATCCTCGAGCGGCCGGAAATCGCGAGCTCTTTGGGCCGCCTCCTCCTCGGCCATTCGCTCAGACATAAAGCGACGCAGGTGGGCAACGGGATCGGCACCTTGGTTCATGCGTCTTCGGGCGACGTTGTTCAGTGTCGGATTTGTGTGCACTGTTGACCACGTTGGGATGCGAAACTGATCGAGTCGCGGGGCGCTGGCCGCCACCGGGGGGATCGGGGGCAGACCGGTGGTTCGGTGGGGCTGAGGCGTCGAGTTCCCGGAGCGGCTCGGGGCCGGGACGGCAGGCAGCAGGGACGTTGGGTGTTGAGTGGAGCCGGTGGCCGTGCGGTTCACATTGTTGTTGTTGTTGGCGGGCGGGGAGTAGGGAGGAATAGGCTCGGGGTGCGGAGCGATCGAGTGGTACGAGGGCGCGTCTGAGACTGTTGTTTGGTATTAGCTTGACCGTTCCCATTCTGAGGTATGTTGCGGCATGTCTTTGTCGGTGAAGCTCAGGCGTATCAGGCGCCAGAACGACCCCCTGTGCGGAAGCCACGAAGCTATCCCGACGTCCCACGCAACACGCGCTCGTGACAAGATATGACTTACAATAAGACGGTGCGGCTGAGCGGATCGAGGCCGTTTCAAAGTCATCGTGGCTCAGCGCATCATGGTGCGAAGAAAAGAAGCGCGGGTGTTCGGCTACAGCAGCGGCCATATTGGAAAAAAGGTCCTCGGTGGAATAGTGCGTAAAGCGGTAGGCAAAACTTCCAAAGTTCAGGAGTAACCGGTCGAGGGTAAAGTGCGGAGAGTAGAAGGATAAATGTTGACCATCTGGTTGCGGAGGGGGATCCGGCCTTACAAAATAACTGCGCAAGCGCAGCTCGAGGATCAACGTAGCAGGTAGATCAAGCGAAGATCCCTAGACAGGGTTATGTTGCTGTGCGACTCTGACTTGCGCAGAGGAAGATAGTAAGAATCCTGAGCAGGTTGGGAAACGAGCGTGTAGGATGTGTATGACGGCTTCCGAGACCCAAGTTCTAAGACAAGTAGGTCAGGGGAGAGGAATAATAAGTCGGTCACGCTCGAAGCGAGAGAGACAAGGTGGACGCTGCCCACGGATAAAGCAGCCCAGCGATGGCTGCAGTCCAGTCCGAGCCGGCGGGAACTGGGATGCCTCTGCCCGAAAGGTGGGTGCCCTTGGTGCGTGGTGTGCGTGATGGAGGGGTGGGTGTGTGGAAGGTTGGAGCTTGGCGCAGCGGTAGCGTAATTGTGAGCCTCTCGTGCGAATGTATCTTTGTGTAGACTGTATTCGTAGGGGCCTCAAGGGTCGAGAACTACTACCTGGTGCTTCCAGGTTGAACGAAGTAGGTGGTGCAGGACACGTGAGTAAGGGACTAGAACGATAACAGAAGCCCAGCCGGAAGCAGGGGACAAGATGGCTTCTTTACTGTGCAGCGTGTGGTGTCGAGGACAGGCAAGGGAAGGCAGGACGATGCAGGTCAGATGTATCGTTTTCCTCTTTGAGATGCAGAGGGAGGGGTGAGGGGTCGAGGCAACAGAAGGGGGACGAGCAGATGAGGATGGATGGCATGCAGGTTGGGCGTGGATGGTCCCCTTATACTAGATCAGGATAGGGAGGTACAACCCAAATTGAAGAGAAAAAAGACCTGGCCCAGTGCTTTCTCACCTAGATTAGTTGATAGACGAAGACGATGGAGACTCTCTCACACCGCGGAGGGGCTGAGGATAAGCAACGAGCAGGGCAGAAGAACGGAGAAGACTGGAAACAGCAACGACATCAGCCATGGCCTGAACGAGCTGGAGAGGCCGGAGGAGAAGTGGCCTCCGAGGCGTCGTGTTCCTGGCGCAAACGTGCCGTCGCCGAGCATTGGCTGACGACGATGGGGCATCTGTCAGTTTAGCCAGGAAAGCATCCCGTTTGGGACTCTGGGGGCGTGGACAGAGTGGAGGAATAAATGGATATCAATCGGCGTATTTGGGGGGCCATGGCTAGGAATAGGATTCCGATATGGTTCAGGCTGGCACAAGCTGGGCCAAAGTGGGAGGGAACGACAGGTACGGTGCATAAGCCATCGTAAGTACAACGCCTCCGGCCTGTCACTGAAGGAAAAGACCGACTTTCTGGGATGGCGAAGGGAGGAAACCGGCAAAGAAGCCGTAGAAATGGGGCATTGCCCCAAGGTCTAAGTGGAGGCAAATGCTGGAGATGATAGACGAATGCCCGCTTCAGGAGACTTGAAGGATAAAAAGTCTAGAGAGAGGGAATTATTTCCAAGTGGAAACAAGACGAACACGAGAGGAAACAAGATTCATTGTGCGTTCAGACAAGTACCGACTAACAGGATTGAATATCCCCGGCCTGCCACGGTGATATGGAGTGAATAGAGTTGAGAAGTGAGAAGGCGTCAGTAAGCGCGGGGTTACTGACAGAAGGTCCACTTGAACCTTCCACTTCCATGTTCGTCTGGTTGTTTGACTGCGGGTGGCATGGGGCCGGTTTACATTCTGGCGGAAGCAAGCACAGCCCAGTCCAGTCCAGGTCCAGCCCAGCGCCGTCTTTCCCGTCCTCCCAAAGCCTCAAAGCCCGTGGGAAAGTGCCCTAGTCTCCACCGGTTGCCGACGTCCTCCGAGACCGCCGAGAGGGGTAGCTTCTCGCTACGTTCTGGTTGGTTAGGTATTGCCGTCGTTGTGTTCTGCCGTGAGTTGCTGTCTTTCTTGGTGGATAGGTTGATTCTTGCTTTACGCACGGTTGCGTTGGCTGGCTATGGCCCGTGGGAATAAGACGATGGAAGCGTACCACCATGAGACCCCCCGGCTACTTGATTACGGATGTTTTGTTTCCTTCTTCGCGTTGCGGTTCCTCCCAGCCAGTCGATGGATTGCGAGGTGCTTTTGGAAGTCTTGGCGGGGAAACACCGGTCTGCGGAGAGACTCCAGTTTTGTGGAGACAGTCGACGTGCCTTCCATTTGTATTCCAGAGTACTCGGAACGTACTCTGTTGTCTCTATCGAAGAAGTAGCGATAGTTGGTGGTTGCAACTTTGGGTTAATCCACCACGCCAGCCATCTGGGAACAGGACAGGGATCGCGCAACGAGACCACGGCGACTTCTTGACCTCAACACAATGAAGGGAACATCTTGAATGGAAGACAAACAGAACCACTCACAGCTAACAGCAAGGCAGTGACAGCTTCTGGCCAAGACAGAGCGGGAAGAGGCCGAATATGGCACTCTCTACATGGTAATTAAAATCATGCTTCAGGAACCAAACCTTGCCATCCCGCGATCCCACCTTGACAGCATTCGAGTATGTGATGAGACAACGGTAGAATGAGGTGCTCTACCTACACCGTACGTAGGAATCAGTTTGCCCAGCCTTCGGGACGACACGGATCCCCGCCGCTACCCCACCAAGGCGCCAACTTGAGCCAAATCCCCGATCTGAAAGGGCACAAGAAAGAAAGCCATCCACACATTCCGCTATCCAGAGACGGACAACAGGATCCCTCGGCCCCCAACGACCAACATCACTATGTCTCTCCAGCCCCGAATATGGTTAGGTTACGCAAACCAACCCGTATTAACGGCCCAGAACATACCTACAGACGGGATCCAGGTGTGGGAGGTTGCGAGACAATCAAAACCTCAACATGTTGCTAACTGGGGCTACGTGTAGCCCGCCAACCCACTATGACGACCAGACCTCACCCGGCAGCCCTACAGCAGTCATCCAAAACCTGCTCGCTTGCTCAAGTTGCTACCGCCTACGAATACTCTGTACTCCTCTGTACACCCGCTTTGTTCACTGGCCGTTTTCCTCACTTCTCATCTCGGTCCTGCCTTACGGAAATAACGCCCTCTGTTGCCGTCTCGACCCGTTCAACGACTGCACGCCATCTGCTTCGACTTGGCCCCGACGACTGTGGAACTATATGATGCTGTCGCGCAGGACCAAGTGGGCATTTCGCGGGGGGCATCAGAAGATTGGGGCTTCCTGAAGGCGACCTTGACGACCACGGAGTCCTCTCAAACGCCGCAACTTGACAAACTAATGTTCTACAGAAGACATGTGAAGCTGTACCCGTACCGTGGAGTCCAAACCAGTCGACAAGTAAAAGTCTGGGCGCTCCACCACCGCAGCCACACCTGCACGGTACTGGTAAGTGTTTCACTTGATGGTACATCAACAACACCGCCAGATGCAACCCAATCCAGATTTCTTGGAGATAGTGGCTTGAACACGGGCCTGGATGTGTGGCACACGAGCACACGACACAAGACCACTCTCACGCGACCACTTTGATCCTTATCAGAATCCCTTTGCAGATAGAGGCAGAGAGAAAGGATCTGGAGCCGCCCGGCATGGTAGCATGGGCATGCACCTACGGAGGGTGTTCTCCAACTGATCGCCATTTCCCTCTGAATGCCGCAAGAGGGTGTGTGATGTGAACGGCAATGGGTTTACCTCTGCCTTAAGGGCCTAAGATGGGGAATCGAGACCGCCAGATCGACGTTGCCGCTGCGCAAGCTGCCAAGGACGAAAACCCGCCAGGGTTATCGAACTCTGATGTTTGTGGGAGGGTGTCGCATTAGCACCGCATTTCAACTACTTCGACCTTCCAATTTCATTCCCAAATCCAAAATTGAGCGGATTTGCGCGGCTCGCGAAATGATCATCAAAAATAAACGTGCTATCAAACTGCAGAAATTCCTACAGAATCTCCAAGTTTGCGGATGATACCAGAACGAGACCAGTCCACGATAATGTGAGTATGCCGTCAAGAATCCCCAGCCTCAACAGAAGTAAAGGAAGTCGGCACGGGATCGACCCCGGATCCTCTAAGTTCCCATAGAATCGCGGGACCTTTGATATGAACCTGACACTCCTGAGCCTCTGAGGGTTCTTTTACCCAAGCCTTTTCGAAAACCACCTTCCCATCCGTCAACGTAATATGACATCGTTGGGAGAGGAGTGATTGAAGTCGCGGATTGAGTGCTTGGCTCGGCCCCCAGCCAAGCCGTGGACCACGTACCGTTGATCTTGGCTCTTTGGAACAACTCATCATTTGCCAAGTGCTAGTCAGCAAGCTTAGTTCAAACATCAGTTGAGTTCGATCTTCTGATTACTCCCAGAAACTCAAACCCTTCGACTGGGTCGACATCGGACTAAATGAAAGCATTTGCGTTTGCGGACTGATCGAAGTAATACCATTGCTCGGGTGTTGATTGAAGCAGCAGGTTTCGCAGCTTTTTATTGCACTATTACACGCCTCCCTGATGTCGGTGCACTTCTCCCTGATTGCGAATGATGCCTACCGCATTCTCTTCTCACCTTGCAACCATTGTGTTCAGCGTACTAAAGTGCGAGAGCAATCTAAGCCTTATTTGATATCAGCCTGATGACTGGAGTTGTGTTTGTACAAGTTGCTAATTTGAGCGATACTCTGTCCCAGACGTGCATAGCCGTACTAGACGGCGGCAACGGCGGTGCCCCCCTCAAAACCTAAGTGTAGCCGTTTCCAAGCTGTTCTCGCGCTACTTTAGGTATGTCTAATCGCAGCGTCGTCTAGTCGTCCTTCTTCCCAACCGTACCACCCTTTCGAAGCCCTCCGACCACAATGACGAGCACCGCAACCGTGGCGGCGAAGATAGTCCAGAATGCGGCGCGGTACCCTTCCATGCGCGCCTCCCTTGCATCGTCGTGGACGACAGCCGAGTGCTCCGTCACGGAGGCTGCGATGGCCGCTGTCACGGCAAGGCCCACCGCGTTGCCGATCTGTCCAATCTCGCTGAAGACGCCGCCGGCGAGGGATTGTACGTCTGCTGGGAAGGCGTCGGAGATGATTAGGTTTGAGACGGTGAAGAGGGCTATTGGGTTATTAGACGAGCATCCGGGGGTTTGAAATTTTGCATGGAAAAAGGAGGGAAGGTCGACGTACCATCAGCATTCACTGGCGAGAGGACCATGGCCCAGAATGGCGCAAACCAGTAATTTTCATCGAGGCTGACTGTGGCCATGAGGATTGGCGCCGCGGCTGTTATAACTGCAGATACGGTGCCTAGAGTCTGAACCTTTATCCGCGAGACGAGCCATGCTGCTGCTATGTTGACGAGAGTGCCCATGACGACATGAGGCAGGAATCGAAGGGAGCTTTGCAGTGCGGAGATGCTCTGGACTTTTTGGAAACTGATGAGGGTGTTAACATGAAAGATTCCTCGAGTTCAGCGATCGGCACTTACTACAGCATGACGAAATACTGGATTGCATTGAGAGAAGCCCAGCACAGAAAGATGGACACCTACCGGTATGTCAGAGGTGTCTCGCGTCTACTTTTGGGATTTCCACTCACACAAATCGATGTAAAGGCGGCGTTTCGCCATAGACGATTCGGAATCAACGCCGGACGACCCCTATTAGTCTGAAGGTTCATCCAAACGGGAAACGCGACCAGCAAGGCTACTGCTACAGTTAGGAGGGCAATATTAGTAGGATCAGCAATCTTGGTGTACGAAGAAGTAGTCATCGCCAGCACATAAAGCAGCAAACCTAGCGCGGCGCTCATGATGACTGCTCCTATCCAGTCAATATCCTCCGCCAAGCGGCGCGTCCACTTCTTTTCAGACGGCTGGTGAATCGAGGGCAGAGACCATACAGCCGCGGTCGACAGAGCAAAGTTGATGATGGCCATCATGTAATATGCCCAACGCCAGCCGATGGTATCGGTGAAGATGCCTCCCAAAACCAGACCCAGCGCGTACCCAAGCGGGAACCCAATCCCATTCATCGAAAACGCAACATTCCGCCACCCACCCTTGGGAAACGTCTTTGTAATAAAAGCCATGGCCGTGGGAAGACAAGCCGAGATGGAAACCCCGACGGCGGTGCGGAAGAGAATAATCTGGATCCCCGTCCTGGACAGGCCGACGGCGACGGTGAAGACGACGCAGAGGTAGCTGCCCGTCAGCCACATGAGCTTGGCGCCCACGACGTCGGCGACGGCGCCAAAGATGAGGAGGAGGCAGCCGGCGGCGAGGTTGTAGACGGCGGCGGGCCAGAGGATGAGGCTCTCGTCGAGGCCGACGTCTTGGGCTATGCGCGGGAGGGCGGCGATGAGGATGCCGGAGCCCATTGTGTTTAGGAAGTTTATGCCGGCGAGGGTGATGATTACGGTGATGCTTTTTGCTATGGAGACGTTACGGGATGAGGAGCCTTGAGGGGGTTCTGGTTCTGTCTCTGTTGGGATTCCATCGTTTGGAGGGGATTTGGGCTTTTGCAATGAGGAACTTTGCTTTGATGTGCTTGCTGGGGATTTCAATGGGTGCATCTCCATGGTGGAAGACGGATTGTTTGGAGCACCCCCCTGTATGAGGAGGGCCTCTGGTATTGCTTCCTTGAGGGCGATGTTCATGATGGAAGGCAGAGGTAGTATAGTATATGAGCCTCAGAGTAATGGACAGAGGACTAGTCGATAATCAATTGTATTTGTAGCAAGTCATGAACTGTGTAAGCAGCAAGTTGGGAGGACGACAGCAAGCAACCAAGGCCCCATATGCAGGGGACAGCTTGTTGCATTTGTCATCACATCAATACATGCGCAGGAAATAGAATACCGAGCGAGCCACCCGAAGCCGAACTTGGCGGTAAATGCGCAGGTTGGCGCGCAAAAAGTCGTCGACTATTCCATTCGGCAACGAAGATGGACGGCCACCCTTAAGTTGAAGGCATCTAGAGATGTCGACTTCTTGGTGGTCAGTGCACAAGCCGTCTGCACTTACATAAGCAAACTTAATTGAACATGTGACCTCGCGCCTGGTCCAGCGCGCATCCCATAGATGGCCCACCCCCGCAGGCGCGTCAAGCTCTGGACATTCGTCCTAAGAGTGTTGATCCTTCAAGCAGCGGACGACTGCGATTTGCACCAGATTGACGTCCTCCGGTCGTACGATGAGGACGAAGCCATGGCTGCAGATTACAATGGCAGGCCGGCTGCCGCTGCCGCTCCTAACGCGCCGCCTCCCTCCACACTCGCCGCACAATTAGTCGAGAACATTTCGGCTTCGACAAAGTCCACGCGATCCGACGAAAATGCCGAGCTGAAGAGGCTGTTTGCCGTAATCGAAAGGGTCAAAAATAAGCCCGAGCTACTGGAGACTCCCGAGCAGAGGACGGACCACAATCATATGCTCATCTACGTCTACGCCCGCGTTGTCCTCGAAGGAATCAAGCTCGACGATCCGTTTGCCGACCGAAACCACCTACGAAACGAGGCGCTGAAGGCGATAAATTTTTTGAAGGTCACAATCGAGGAGACACCGAATGTCTTGAACCATACCACAGATGGAAAACAATTCGTTTTCCGTGGGGAGGAGCCTCTTTGGATTTGGGTCTTCCCGAAGATCCTTCGGTTACTAGGCCACTCTCGCTGCCTCGAGTTGATGGGAGACTTTGAGGGGTTCTTCCAATTTGTGATCCTCGTAGTGATTCGTACGGGATCTATGTGGAAACTGCTACCGTTCATGTTGCTATACTTGCGTGAGACCAGCAAGGGTAAGTTTCGAACCCAGATGCATGTTCAAGATCAAGCTTCTGACTCTCGCAGCTCTCTTAACACATTTGCAAGACATGGCACCAAGTTCAACTAGAAATGACGCTACTGTACACATGACATTACCCCCGGATGGTACACTGGAGCTCTTGTTAGGAAAGCCTGGCACCATCTTTGTCCAACAGACCACATATACCATCCAACATGTCTCTCAGTGCATACATCAAGCAACCACGTTGATCTCGGCGTTGGCGCACCCGTCAATTTCTAAAACTCCGAGTCTCGTCTCGCGACCAACATTGTCTCAGCTGACACTTTGGCTGCTTGATTCTTTGCTTTCCCTTCGTGCTATACAGAACACATGGCAGGCGATTGTGCCAAGCCCTCGAGCCGACTTGCTCAATATTGCTCTGAACCTGCTCCCAGACAAGCCACGCCCTGCTCACAAATCCTTCGACACAAAGAAGGCATATGCTGTGCTGGCAGTGCTCTGTGCTGAGCTCGCAGCACATTCCGAAGAAATACAGGGTGCAAATGAGTCGAGCGTGGCAGCGAGGAAGACGGTCTCGCTGGCGCTCATCCGACTAGCGCATGCATCGCTTGTAGATCGAGAAGTCGGCAGACTAGCAGCACCGAAGATTGTGTGTCCTTTGGAGTACGAGGTTTCTTCACTCGTCGAAGCCCCTGATTTCATAGTACGTTAAATGGACATGATGCCACATCGAGCCTTGACTAACATACCTCCAGCGTTCCATTCAAGTTCTGAAGCAAGCATCCGGATCCATCGCACCAACAAGCCTCGACTCCGAAACACAGCCCGCTTCTTTCATTGACACCGACTTGCGTCAGGCAGTGGAAGACCTTGGTTTAGAGAATTTTGGCACGGACGACGCAGAGCCCGCTTCAAAGCGCCTAAAGGTGTCTTCAAATGCTCCTAAACTGCGAGCGCTAATCTCTCGCATCTATGCGGTCTGTCAAGTGAATGAGACTGAAGATACCGGAGGGCTGGAACATGTTTTCTTGTATGTGTCACCCGTCTCTATGTGTTTCATACGTTAGCTCACATGTTGTCAGAAACCAGTACAACAACCTCAGCGAAGACAACCAATGTCGAGCTATCGACCTTGTATCCCGGATATGCTGTGCAGTGGATACGACAGCAACTGTTGACGGCGATGTACGCATCGGCAAACGCAAGAGCGTGGGATGCGCATTCTGCGATCAGAAACCTGGGGGCTCTGAGAGACTCAACGCCACCACAGTCGAAGAGAAAAGAGAGGCTCAATCCATTTTCACAAAGCTCATTCATCTACCCAACTTCAAGGAATCGAAGCGCCCGAGGATTGTCGCGATGATCTCTGCTAGACGAATCATCAATCACGCCGATGTCACGGAACTCATCGACCTCGAAACATCTCCTCTAGGACAATGGTGTCTACAAAGCTTGCATAGCTCGATCAGAGAGCTTAGGATTGCTTCTGGGTATGTTCTACTTCAAGCCAAAGGTTCATTTGTGGCAAATAACAGCACCTGACTGATTGCAGACGCGCTCTTCCTCTATTCCTGAGAGACAGCGATTTGGAGGCGCTTGACTCGACTTTGATTATTCGCAATCGAAAGAATGCGCTCAGTCTGCTCAAAGCTGCTTTCGAGAAGGACGCAGTCATATTTCATGAAAGCGGAATCCTGGCCTGGGGTCAACTTGGACGGTAAGTACATGCAGCTCGAGTTGAAATCTGCTTCCATGCGGAACGCTAACGACATTAGAGTCGTGACCGGAGACGAGCTCAACCTTGTTCTGCACAAGCTGCTTGAATACCTGGGTAGTATCAACAGTCTGATCGCATCATGTGCCTTCAACGAGGTAGAGCTCCTATGCGTTAATGCAACAGACAGTGGCTGACGTGCTCCATAGATTCTCAACCTAGCAGCTGCCCTGAGCACTACACCACGTCGTCTATTTGAACCATTTTGGAGGAACCTTGCATACTTCGCTGTTAAGGACATGCAAGCTCGACCGCAGATTTGCCGCGCGATTGCCGACCTGTTGCAGATATCTGTCACCGAATTTCTCCTGCTAATCCAGACCCACGCATTGCCCTGGCTGGTATTAATGAAAAAGAAGGAGGTGATTCAGAAAATAGCCGAGGCGCGAGGGGAAAGGGACATTTGGGTCCCCATCCTGGACGCAGCCAATGCTGGGCCCATCATTGCGCTGTTGCTTATTCAAGATGTTCGCAATATCGAGCAGTTCGTTATGTCCAGGCTTGTTGAGGTGTCCTCTCACCTGGAGACATTTACCGTGGTTGAGCTCGTGCAATCCGAAGTTTGTTCCATCGCCCTGGAGCTTTTCAAGGCTGCCGGGGAAGCCGATGAAGCACGTAAGCCCCGCGTGAGTTCACTATCTTCGTACCTACTTTGCTACTTCGCCTGCTGACTCGTCCTAGATAATCGAGGCATTGGCATCCTTCTGTTCGATGATGATGATCGCAAACAAAGAGTCAAAGTCAAAGAAGAACGTTATTGGGAAGTATCTACAGTCGTACATTCTTGGTCTCATGGCTCGCCTTGCGGATGTCATCAATGACATGACACTTGTATTCCCTCCAGCCGAAGAACAGAGGCGCTGCATACGTGCCTTGGAGGAGATGATCAGACATTGCAAAGGCTACGTTCGGATTGCACGCCCACAGGTGAGTAATTATTGGCTCTTGTAGGTGCTCTTCGTATTGACTTTCCTAGATTGCCGCATGCCTGCTGTCATCCCTGGCTCAGGATGATCTCAGAGAAGCCGCATTCTCTTGCTGGACGGCTCTGCTTACATGTCTCGACCCTGAAGACGTTGAGGTCTTGATTGAGACTACGTTCTTCGTTATCAGTCACTACTGGCCGCTCTTTTGTGAATCCTCTCGACACATGGCTAAAACCATGATCAGAAAGTTGATCACGGACTTCAGTGACAGCCTAAATGAATACATCACCAAGCTACCTTCCTTAGGTCACATAAAAGAGTTGGCAGACATCGAAGCGGAACTCAATGCGGCGCGTCCAGTCCTTGACAACAGGAAGGCGTTTGTTCTATTTGCTGAGCGCACGGCTCACGAGAACTCGGGTGTCGTTTTACTGGCACTGAGAGAACTCGAGGCCTACCTTAGGCAGAGCGGAGGCTTCCTCCAGACTTCAGCCATCAGTCAACAGCCTGACCCGGTCGTACCCATGTTGCTCCGAGCCTTGCTAGACTGTGGAGCAAAATACAGTGCTATGCACCAGCTTGACATTGCCAGTCTTTGCACTCAATGCATTGGCCTAGTGGGCTGCCTCGATTCTAACAGAGTCGAGGCGCCACGAGAGCAAAAGTCAATGGTCATTTTGAGCAACTTTGAGAGTGCAGACGAGACGACCGACTTCGTGTTGTTCATCTTCGAACAGATTCTCGTCAAGGCTTTCCTGTCCACGACAGACACTAAACTTCAAGGCTTCCTTTCTTTTGCTATGCAAGAACTGCTCGACCGGGTGGATATCAAGGCCGCGTTGGCTATGAAAGAAACCGGAATGCGGAATGGCGGTGACATCTACAGAAAATGGTTGACATTATCGGAGAGTGATCGGACGGTGCTATCACCTTTCCTTACCTCCCGATACATCCTGACACCCATGAACGTGGTTCCAGTAGAGTATCCCATCTTCCGCCCAGGAAAGCCCTACGGAAACTGGATGCGTTCATTCAGCATGGATCTCTTGGGCAAGGGACAAAATGGGCACGCGGATCTCATTTTTGAGCCGCTGTGTCGCACCATCAAGGTAAAGGACTTGGCTGTTGCCGAGTTCCTGCTGCCATATCTAGTGCTTCATGTAATTCTAGGTCACCGGAGCACGCGAAAGGACCGAGATAATGTCATTGGAGAGCTCATTGGCATCCTTCAGCACCAACCTGACGAAAACGCGCCATATTCGGAACGAGAAGACATGAAGGTCTACTGCGAGGTGAGTAAGATTTCGCGCGACATTAGCTGCATTCACTAATCAAAACAGGCTGTCTTCAGAGCTCTCGACTACGCGAGTAGATGGCTCCAAGAAAAGGACGCAAGACGGAAGAATGACGATGACCTGCCCGCGATAGCACGTGTTCAGGAATTGCTGAATACTATCCCGCCAGTGCTCATCTCTCAACGTGCGATGGATTGTAGAGAGTACCCGCGAGCGCTCTTCCACCTTGAGCAGCACGCCCAGCAGATGGAAGTTGAGAACAGCGACCCAAGGCAGAAAACTCTACTGCTTGAGCAGCTGCAGGACATTTATACTCAGATTGACGAACCTGACGGACTGGAAGGGATTTCCGCTCACCTGCACGTCTTAGATATCAACCAGCAGATTCTCAGCCACAAGAAGGCAGGCAGATACACTGCAGCCCAAACTTGGTACGAAATCAAATTGGCAGAAGAGCCAGACAATGTTGATGTGCAAATCGATCTGCTCAATTGTTTGAAACAATCCGGCCAACACGGTAAGAACAGAAGTTACCAAGCTACGGGTCACGCACAAAGGCTAACACGATTAGATGTACTGCTCAATTATGTTGAAGGTATGCGAACAGAACCTTCAACGGAGAACAGGATTGTGCCATATGCAGTTGAAGCAGCATGGGCTACAAGGAGGTGGGATACTTTGAATAAGTACACTAGCCGATTCCATGGCAGTCCTCTGGAGGATTTCAACGTCAGCATCGCCAAATTGTTCAACGCTTTGCAGCAAAGGGGGGGCGGCAGCGATACATTTCCTGAAATGCTGCAAAGTATGAGAGAAAAGATCGCCTCCGCCATGACACACGCGGCAACGTCATCTTTGCAGGCCTGCCACGACCTAAGACTCAGGTGTCATGTACTTGCTGACCTCGAGATTATTGCCGGAACTCAAGTTTCGGAGGGCGATGCACATCAAGAGGTGCTAACCATGCTCAACCGTCGCCTTGAGGTTCTTGGGGCGTACGTAGGCGATAAGCAGTACCTTTTGGGTATTCGTAGAGCCGCCATGGAGCTTTCGCGGTATGTGTAGCGTTGCCATCAATCAACCCTGAGCTAATCCTTCACAGGCCCAAGTTTTCGGATCTTGACATATCTTCTTTGTGGCTCTCTAGCGCTCGGTTGGCGAGAAAAGCCAACTCAACCCACCAGTCATTCAATGCCGTGCTACATGCTTCCCAACTTGGCGACGGAGCTGCGGTGATTGAGAATGCCCGGCTTCTGTGGAAAGATGGCCACACGCGCAAGGCCATCCAAGTCTTGCAGGGCGCCATTGAATCAAATAATTTCATGACGCAGACCAACAGTTCCTCTTCTGTCCGTGGCATGGATGCCCAGCAAAGGCAGTTGACGGCTAGAGCTCAACTCATGCTCGCCAAATGGCTGGATGCTGCCGGTCAGACGAACCATCATACCCTGCGTGAGAAATATCAACAACCCCCTCTCACAGCCAGCACTTGGGAAAAGGGCCATTACTACCTGGGGCGCTACTACAAGAAAGTACTGGAATCTGAGAAGACACTCAAGGCAGACGATCAAACAGATCCCTGCATTCAGGGCGAGTATACTAGACTCGTCGTTGAAAACTACCTTCGGTCTCTGAACTACGGCACCAAATACATCTACCAGACTATGCCAAGAATTCTCACATTGTGGCTTGAGTTCGGAGCGCAAGTTGACAAGGCCCCCGAAGGCAAAGTTTCACTGTCTCGTGAGCTTCATAGGAGGCGAACGGATCAGTTGAACCTCCTTCACCGGTTCCTTGACAAATCCATTGCCCGGCTGCCGGCCTACATATTCTACACGGCACTCCCACAAGTTGTAGCAAGGATTGCTCATCAAAATAAAGACGTCTATGAGCGGTTGATGCAGATAGTCATCAAGGTCGTGCAATCCCACCCTCGGCAAGCTCTTTGGAGCTTGTTTGGAATCATGACGACGAGACAAGCTTCAGAACGCCGTGTCAGGGGTCAACAGATCTTGCAGGCGCTGAGGGGGGTCACCAGGAAGGTTGAAGGGAGCAGCTATGACCTCAGCAAGCTATTAAGAATGGGCGAGAAGCTTGCAGAACAGCTTCTGCTGGCTTGCAATAACGGCGATTTCCAAAGCAACAGGACGACCGTGGCGAGCATCACGCGCGATCTGAATTTCAACCACAAGTGCACGCCTTGCCCTCTGGTGGTGCCTATTGAGTCATGTCTAGCGGCTGCCTTGCCGACGCTGACTGACAATGTCAAAAATCACAAGGCTTTCTCGCGAGACGTCATTACCATCGACTCCTTCCTGGACGAGGTACTGGTTCTGGGATCCTTGGCCAAGCCACGACGATTGACCGCACGCGGAACGGACGGAAAGAGCTACATGCTTATGATCAAACCGAAGGACGATCTACGCACCGACCAGCGTCTGATGGAATTTAACAGTATGATCAATAGATCGCTGAAGAGGGATCCCGAGGCCAGCAGACGTCAGTTGTACATAAAGACATATGCCGTTGTCCCTCTGAACGAGGAGTGCGGTATCATCGAATGGGTTGATGGTTTGAAGACACTACGGGAGATTCTTCTGGATCAGTATAAATCCCGCCAGGTACACCCCGACTACAACCAGATCAAGCGGATGATGGCTGAGGCGGTGACGGGACCGAACAACATCAAGATGTTCACGGAAGGCGTCTTGGGGACGTTCCCGCCCGTGCTGCAGCATTGGTTCGTCCAGCGTTTCCCTCACCCTTCGACTTGGTTCTCCGCAAGGCTCAAGTACACCCGCTCCTGCGCCGTTATGTCGATGGTGGGCACCATCCTCGGACTCGGCGACCGACACGGCGAGAACGTTCTGCTGGAGCGCGACAACGGCGGCATCTTCCACGTGGACTTCAACTGCCTCTTCGACAAAGGCCTGACGTTTGCGCAGCCAGAGAGGGTACCGTTTCGCCTGACGCACAACATGGTGGCGGCGATGGGCATTTACGGATACGAGGGTCCCTTCCGGCACTGCAGCGAGCTGACGTTGGGGATCCTGCGGCAACAAGAGGAGACGTTGATGACGATTCTCGAGGCGTTTATCTACGATCCCACGCTGGATCTGCAGAAGGAGAAGAAGACGAGCCGCCGGCAGGACGGGGCGCCTAGGATGCAGCCTCAGCTTGTAGTTGACAGCATTAAGCGTAAAGTCAAGGGGCTGATGGGGCAGGACACGATCCCGTTGGGCGTGGAGGGCCAGGTGGAGGAATTGATCAAGCAAGCTGCTGATCCAAGGAACCTCGCGGCTATGTATATCGGGTGGTGCCCATTCTTGTAAGTTTGGGTCTTTGAGGAAGATTCTATGAGAAGGTATCATGATGGGCTAGGGATGGCGTCGAGAGACGACCAGAGATATGAATAAGGGGTTTGGGAACGGACATTGGTGTTGGCGGTGGTGTAATGGATGTATATGATATGATGAGGTGCTTTTCACGTACATGTAACTATTAAAGTTCTATCAAAGATAATAAGAGAAGCTGTCCCTCAAACACTTCGCTGTCTTAATTTACTACGAGAGACATCTATCTGATGTGTAGGTGTGTTGTCTTCATAATGAAATCAGTCGCTTGCATTCCATTCGGTCGTCTTATCGGCCACCACGTGTTCGGACGTTGGGAAGCTCCCCAGAGTTCGGGGCCGCTGCCTGGCAGCGATTAGGCTCCCGCGCAGGGGTTTAGGGGATAGAGGCACTGAAGCTCAGGAGCTTTGGGCAGCTAAAATGGGACCGGGAGACAGAAGACGAGAGAAATTGTCACTGCCACCTTCCGGGCAACCAGCAACGCTCCCCAACTGTTTCCTTTTTCCGTCTTGAGGTGCTTCTTCCAGATTCTGTCATTACCACATCTCCCTCCAATTTCTTCTTCTCTCAGACACCCTCATTGTTTTCCCTTTCTTCGAGAAGGCCGTTTCCCGCAGTCAATCGCTCATCAAAACTATTTTTAAGATGCCTGACTACCGCATCGGTAAGTTTTCAATTTTCTGTGATCTCGACGTTCGGTTTGGCCGCTGGTCTGGAGCTACGGTCGCGTCTGGCAAATACCCGGCGACGCGCCCAAAATCCCGACCTCACGTCATAGGCGACCGAGACTGCAATCTCAGACGTTCACTCCAAGCTCGCCCAACACCCGCATATATACGCATGCTAATACTCACTCTTCCTCAATGCAGAGGTGTCGCCCAACAACCGCGCTGGATGCTCCGATGGCGTGTGCAAGAAGGCCGCAGCCAAATGCTTGAAGGGTTCCCTTCGCTTCGGCACATGGACCAAGATTATGGATCATGAGTCCTTCAAGTGGAAGCATTGGCATGTTGACCCCTTTTCCTCCCTCCGCCACAATCCACTACCCCAGTCGCCACGTTTTACTGTGATCCCAGCCAGAAATGGACATGCTAACGTTATATGTTCAAGGGGATGTGTCTCTGGAGAGGTGATAAAGCATGTCCAGGAAGTTTGTGAAAAGAACGGACAGTTCGACTTTGACGCCTTTGACGGTTATGATGAGCTGATGTCAGTTTGTTTCCCTTCCTCTCTCACCACTGGAACATGCTGCTAACACACAAGTCAAGCGACCACCCCGACCTTCAGCGGAAGATCCGTGAGGCCATAGAGCAGGGTCACATAGCCGATGAGGACTTCAATGGTGATCCCTGGATGAATAAACTCGGCCAGCGTGGCATTCGCGGCAAGAAGCCCAAGGGCTGGGATGATGGCGAGGATGAAGATGTTCGTCTCCCCGCTGTGCATGTGCGGATTTACATACTGACGCCTGAACACAGGAGGAAGAGGCCCCCGCCAAGGGCAAGAAACGCAGTCGCAAGGCCGCCGATGACGAAGAAGAGGAGAAGCCCAAAGCCAAGCGCACCAAGAAGGCCGCAGTCAAGGCCGAGGTCAAGGATGAGGACGAAGAGGAAGAGAAGCCCAAGCCAAAGGCCAAGCGCGGCAAGGCCGCCGTCAAGAAAGAGGAGTCTGACGCCGATGAAGAGGCGCCCAAGCCGAAGCGTGGTGCTCGCAAGTCCGCCGTCAAGAAGGAGGAGTCCGGCGCCGAGGAGGAGGCTCCCAAGCCCAAGCGGGGTGCTCGCAAGTCTGCTGTGAAGAAGGAGGAGTCTGACGCCGAGGATGTGAAAGTAGAGGCACCCAAAGTCAAGGACGAAGAGGTCAGCGAGGAGGAGGCTCCCAAGCCGAAGCGCGGTACTCGTAAGTCCGCCGTCAAGAAGGAAGAACCAGATGCCGAAGAGGCGGCGGAAAAGACCCTCAAGCCCAAGCGTGGCCCTGCCAAGAAGGCCAAGGTCGAGGAGAGCGAGGAGGGGACCTCTGCTGCCGAGCCCGCGTCAGAGATGACTCCCAAGTCTGAGGAAGAGGAGGAGGAGAAACCCGCGCTTAAGACAGCCAAGGCGGCACCCAAGGGCCGCAAGAAGGCTGCCCCGGGTGCTGAGGCGGAGAGGCCCAAGTCGACGCGGGCCAGCCGTTCCCGCAAGTGAGTCTCAGGGAGAAGCCCGCGATATCGAAATGTAATGCTAACTTTGCTAGGTAAATCTTGCTCATGCTAAGGGCGGACCTGGGCCATACTCCCCAGTCAACTTGTATCATAAGCTGTCTGCATAATTATGTCGAACTGCTGTGGAGTCGATCGCCAGCAGATATCTTACTTCCCGTCTTGTCGTTTCAATGTTTGTTCTTTCAAGTTCATACCCTACTGATGAGACTAAAATCATACCTTACCCGCCTGAGAGCGAAGATGCTGTACATTACTCCAATTTGCTTTGTCTTGTGTCGTCAAAAGTTGTTGAGGGTCTGAAAAGCAGTTTTCATGTTGATGTGGAAAGCTCAGGCCTATCAGTGCCAAATAGGCGTCGATGAATAAGATGTTGTACATTGTCATCGGCTCCCTCTATAGCTAGGTGTTCTGTGACTGTTGCTCGGATGATTCTCTTCATGAGAACCGGCATATGAAGTTGGGCAATTCCAGCTGAGAACGACTTTGAAAGAAAGTCGATTAGAAGTACATGAAAAGCAGCATGCCGCCACGAACTCATCGACGAAGCTTCTTTCAGCACACTCAACTCATCAGAAGACTCCCAATGAAGGCTTGCTTCAATGAAAGCAAAAAGACAAATTTGACATGGTGCGGTAGTGAATCATAATAGGGAAGCCGAGGCTCGCCTTTAGTGTTGGTTGGAAAGGGTCTCCGCTTGAGAGGAAACATGATGCTTATTATGGCTGGGTATTGTCTCCATCGAACGCAAACCACAGTCTCGAACTGGCTATTCTAGGGCTTGCGTTCAGGTTGTAGTCTCGAGCAAGACTCTGTTTGAGGGAGTTGCCATCATGTCAAAATATGGGGCGAAGAAATTGCTTCTATGGAAGAAGTCGATTCTCCTTATCTAGATGAAAAGGCAAGCTATGCGTCAGCGAGGCTGTATAGAGAGGATAGTAGGTAGGTAAGAAACCTAGTCCACGATCTCTCGCTGTGATATAAAAGGATATTCTTCCTGTCTTCTCTGTCAAGAATAAGTAGCAAGCAACGTGTGTTGGATGTGGCTCCAGCCAGCATGTGTCTTGCTCCGTGCAGATTTCTCGCAGAGTCTATCGCGCGGAGTTGTACATTGTCGAGGCTAGTAATGAAATGAATTACTTCAATTGGCAGAAGCCAAGTGTCTTCGACGTCTCACTGTTCACTACTCCCACCCCGTCTATTCACTTTTGAATACTCAGCTAGAGCAAACATGAGATTGACGAAGAATTTGCTCTTATGCTCGAGGCTCCGTCTTGAAGATTTTGAAGGTCAAAAGTACTAGACTATCAAAGAGCGCGGTGGAACATTTGTCAGGAAGAGATTTACGACTTTTTCGAGCATCTTCTCTTTTTCGTCTCATTGCCTTTGTTGATTGTTTCTATGTAACACTACAGCGCTGCGTTTAAGTACTAGATCCGCTCTGCGCTCTAGGAGTTGAATGATACTGCCCTGCGATTTGCCATGCTTCCTTCTTCAAATGCGATGGCCTATGGCTATAAAAGGTCGAGAAGTCATGGATCTGGGTGCTTCTTGCATCCAAGACTGGTTGGGCAAGTGTATCTCGCTAATACCGGACTCTGACATCAGATATTCTCGAAGCGCTGTATCTTAGTCCGTTCTCGAAGATCCACATCCCATCTCATAACGTCCCTTCATATCCTCAGGTACATTTTAGATGTCTCATTGTCCACTACTTGTTACCCTCTACTTCACTTCTGAATACATAGCAAGAGGCATGTAGAGGTGTAGGGCGCAGTACCAGGCGGCTAGGTGACTTGGAGCGCTCGAGCGAGCTTAGACTAGGCTGTTTTCTACTTCTGGGCGATGAGCTTCTACTTACAATACAATGGCCGCGACGGTTGGGGATCCCCGGAGAAGCCAAAAATGCGTTGAGGGGCCATGAGTGATTGCAACGTAGGACTTTGGTGTATTTATAGGTAACAGGAGGAAGGGAGCCCATCAAGGCTTCGGCCTCGGCCTCTGTTTTCAGATCATACCTATCACGGTTTATCCGCCAAGCCGACGACATTGTATTGATACGAATCGTCTTTACTTGACTCTGAAAGGCTTCCGATATGCTACATGTACATGTCTGTTTCTCTCAATATGACAGTCGTCTGACCCAGCATGTGGCTCAGACCCTCGAGAAAGACTGGCTGTTGGTCATATCAAGGCCCTGACATATTACTGCATCTCCAAGAGTCGGGAGAGGACACAGGAATCTCGCTTGCATCGAGTTGCTGAGGTGAAAGAACAAGGAGACTTTCCAACTTCCAGCTTGATCACAGGCGAAGTCCAGCTCACTTAAGCAGCCAAAGTCAGGACTTTTGAGTCATAAGTTCGTTATTTGCTCCTAATACAATCTAAACTCCGCCCTATTTCTCCGCCGCTATGTTGTATTCATAAATCGTTACACATGGTGCTAGGCAGAAACCCCCACATGTTGGGTTGAGAAAAGTGAAGTAAAGACACACATTTGCCCGCCCGGCAGATCCGGCTTCTCTAATGCAGCACATCCCATCCCGAAAATGATATGTTCTGTAGTCCGAATCCAAATGGAAGGCGTGCCTGTCTCAGGCCCCTCCGTCAAAAGTGCCGAACGTCGGCTGGGTATTCGATTTGTATGTTCCTTAGGCTCACTTGTGCTGTATACTATGCAATGCTTAATAACGTCGGGGACGTTGGCTTTGGCTATCGTAGACGACCTCGCGCTCGTAGACTCGCTCATCATCGTACTTGCTGCTCGGTCCGCGGTGGTGGTGATGATGAGACCGGCGGTCCCAGTCGTCATGCACCCACTCTCTCTCATACTCGCGAACGCGCTGCTTGCGGAAGCGGCGGATATCATCTGATACCTGCACCAGCTCAAGCACATCATCCTGCATTCTATTAGCACTTGTCACCAACCCAATGAAGACATAACCAAAACTTACGTATTTGAGGTATTGCATAATGTAGAAAAAGTATTCAGTCTCCTCGAAATCATATCCAAGTTGAATAATGGCATCGCGAATAACCAAGTCCTTTGTGATCTCGGTCCACATCTCGTTTCGCTTTGATGGAGGTCCGCGGCGCGGTGCGCGATCCTTTGTCTTCTCAATCTCGATCTCAGTCTCGCGGTCATAAACCTGGAGGCTGAGACGGTCTCGGGATTCGCGCGGCGAGGGTTCGGCGGGAAGTGGGGCCGGCGCCGAGATGGGAGCGCCCTCCCGTTCGGGAATGAATTGTGCTCGCCTCACACCGTTGTAACGCTGCCAAGTGACCTCGGCAGAGCCACCTCCAACGCCATCCATACGGACACGCTCGGTGCCGGGCGGGACATCGACAATGGCCCAGTCTTTGGTGGCACCGTTCCAGGCCTCGCCCATCTTGCCGCGTGAGTCGATCTTGGAGGTGATGTACTCAGCTTCCTCGTCGACGGGCGTGCGTGCGGCCGCAGAATGAGCTCTACGGCGTGATCCGCTGTGGTAGTGACGGTCGTCGATCCGGAGACGGTCGGTACTCAAGACGAGTTCTCTGTTGTCCTGGAAAGCGGGGGATCTGCGCTCCCTGCTAGGAGATCGGTGGCGGCTTTGCGAGCGGTGAATGTCAATGTCGGTTCCTCTGCGAGAGGTGGTGATGTCGATATCCAGCTCCCGCTCTTCGGTGCGGGTCTTCGGGCGGGGAGCAGGACGAGGGGGAGGCGGCGGGCTGGGCACGCGGGTGACACCTGGATGCATTAGACCTCTCGGGGGTCTTATATCCTGCAGTTTGTCCTTGTACTCACCATGATCGATGTCTCTGTAGTGCGTAATGACTTCTCTTTCGATCGTGGGGCCGCGAATGACCTGAGGTTGGGGCGGTGGTGGGGGCGGTGAGGGTGAGGGTGACGGAACCCGCTCTCTTTCCCTCTCACGCTCGACGATGCGCACGCCGACGCGGCTGCGTTCTCTGGCTGGGGGAGGAGACGGCGAGCGCTGCCTCTCAACGTATCGAGCGCGGATCATTTCCGGAGGAGGGCCGCGGGATGGACTGCGAATCTCTCGCTCGCGCTCGGTGACGCGGACTCGGGAGCGCTCGAGCTCTTGCTCATGATGAACGTGCGGAGGTGTCAAGCTGCGGGCTCTGCGTACAACACGCTCACGGTAAACAGGGCTAGGGCTGCGGGCGCGAGGCCGTGACAGCTCTCTTGATTCAACCTCTCTGCGGCTCAGAACAAGAGCTCCGGCTTCGGGAGGACGCTCATCGCGCAGGAAGCGAAGGCGGTCACCTTCACGCTCACGCTCGCGCTCCTTGACGCGGACATCAACTTCGTCAAAAGCAACCCGGCTTTCGGCGCGCTGGCGGCGGGGGGCGTCGTAGAAACGCTCCTCAAAATCGTTGGACCGGTAAGCCATGTTTTGTTGGCGAAACTCAAACGGCTTTTTCGGTTTAGGAGAGGTGTGACGGAGAGGCGTCGGTGAGTGTTTGTTTGTGAGTTTATCTGAACAGGTGGGATGAATGGCGGGGTAGTAAGCCGGTGGTGATTGTGTAGCGCAGGTGATAGCGTGAGCGTTACGGACACTAGACAAGATGATACACCAAAATCCTGCGCAAACAGAAGAGGCGACGCTGAAAAGAGGATGAACCAAATGTGTCTTGTAGCGCTGGGAATGAACGACACACGACGGAGGGTAGTGGAGGAGGTACTTTAATGTGAGGCCGAGCCTAGAGCTGAGCCGGCTGGGGAAGAGGGGGTGAAGAGAAGGGTGAGTGAGTGAGAAAGAGAGAGAGGTGAGAGGGAAAAGAGTCAGAGTAGGAGCAACGTCGTCATACCACAGTAGGAGAGCCGGGTATGTATGTATGTAGGACGTAAGTAGGCAAGTAGGCAAGGTGGTATGTAATTAAGACAGCCGACAGGTGATATAGGGCGGCACCACCAGGCTGTATGTGTGTGGTCCTTGGAGGTTCGTGGGGGATCTCTGGCCTTGGTGGATGGAGGACTGGGAGTGGAGGGGGACAAGAGAGGGACGGGAGAGCAGTGGAAATGGGAGGGGTTGGCCGGCTCAAGAGATGGAAGCCGTTCTTGTTCACCACAGGCTTATTAGCGGGTGCGGTCGAGGTCTGTCAAGTTCGCTAGGTACTCGAGTCGAGGCCAGTCCCAGCTGTGGGCAAGCGCCGCGCGGTGAACCGCTTT